GGCCCTTCGTCATTGTACTGTCGGATAGAGCCCGACCCATGCCATTAGGGACGTCACAGTGGTGAAATGTTAACTACCTCGACGGGTATACAGGAGGTCGTGGGTGCGATCCTGACCCTGATGCCTGCTGTATATTTGGAGTTTGCATGTTCTGCCGGTGGTCGCGTGGATTTTTCTCTGGGTCCTCCGGTTTTCCCCTCCACATTTAGAATCTATACGCGTTTAGAGTGTTTGGCTATTGCTATACGTTTCCACATGATAAGCCACTTCGTTGAGCTATCATTTGTGGCCAGGTCGCTTCAGAGAAAGAGCTATGAAGCTTACCTGGTAAAGTGAAAATAGTTTAGTTATATTTCGTCATAGGGGTTGTTATAGCGAGTTGGTGAAGAAGATGCCTGGGAACGATTCATACTTCTCTCGCCAGTGATGTTAGCCTTTGCCAAGAATTAATCGCAAGTGAAGGGGTTTATCGTGCAATGAGAGAACCGCTACACTACCACCAAAATGTTTTGCTCACGGTTATTTATTAAAATCTCTTTGAGCAATGTTTATTATTATTATAATTTTCTCAGCGTGTGTCCTGTACAGCGGCAATGCAGCGCCACCAGAGGAAACAGCGGATTGACAAGGGAAGCTGCACTTTTCAGGGGGCTACAATCGCTTTTTTTATGTTTGCCATACGAGGGACAAACTCACGTGCCGTGCAACAGCGTTTCACGCGTAGGGATACATTCCATTTTTTTTAAATTTTCCATAACTGGAATATGCCAAGTTAAGGGAGGAATCAAATGTAATAGGTCCAGCCGCTAGTGTCCAAACTGAGACCAATAGGTTCACTGCCCTTGAGAAGCCAGTTTAATTATGGCCGGGTGCCCAGACGTGGAGCCAAGGGTCTCAGCGGTGCTGTCTCAGTGTCTAACGTCGTTGTAAACGTGTGGCCCACCTGGTCACCTCCTGAATCAGGGACTTTGTTAACGAGTGACCAGACGACGCATTGTGCGAGAATTTATTTTCCGATTTAATTTTTGGTATGTTGGTATATAACAATATCGCCGCGGTGGCTAGGAGATGTTAACTACCACGCCTGGTATACAGGAGGTCGTGGATTCGATCCCGACCCTTACGCCTGTATAGTTTGGAGTTTGCGTGTCTCTCTCTCCCCGTTGTCGCGTGGTTCTCCAGGTCCTCCGGTGTTTCTGTCAACGCGCATTCAGAGCATTTGACTGCTGCTATACATTTCCACGTGATAAGCCACTTTGTTGAGGCATCATTCGCGGCCAATGTGGATTCTGAAACATTCCTGCGGAGGGAGCTGGTAGGAACGTTGGGTTGCTTGGTCAATGGCCAGGGTCAACGGCGGCGTGGTGTATTCCGCAAATATGCCCGACTGTGAGGACGGGCACAAGCCGGCGTGAGTAGGTTAAACGTTGAGTTTTATAAGGGCACTACGGGGTAACCAGCCCCTCCCCACCCAGCCCCACCCCTCCCACCCCCCACCCAGCCCCACACTCCCCATCCAGCCCCTCACCACCCTCTCCACCCAGCCCCTCCCCACCCTCCCCTCCCTACCCAGCCCCTCCCTGCATGACGGACGGACGGACACAATAATCGCCTGTGGGCTGGTGTAACCAGGAGGTTCCTACCAGTATAAAATAGTTAATGTAGCTCAGTGAGCCTTACCTGGTCAAATAAAAAGTTTCATATATTTGTTATTCATTTACCAATTTTGCTACCTGTATTACGACGAGTCAATTGGGATCTCGGACCCTTCGTGTTGTAGAACGGCTCGCGCAAGTGGATGTCGCAGAACTACATCTCTGATGCCTTCAAGTGTCCTTCGGTGGCGCAATGGGTGGCAGTAGCCTCCTGCCCACTTACCTCAGAATTGTGTTGGCAGGAGCGCATTCTTCCACTGAGGGGGCGGTTTTAATATCGTACAATTTTGCACTACAATTTGGATTTATATAGCGTGTTTTCTTTATTGCGTACGGATTTAAATAACATCTAAATGCAAATGCACCTCAAGGACATTTCGGGAGGGGCATCTTGCCGGACTCAAGTATATTATATTCCTTCCACTTGTTCATAGCAACAACAAAAAAACGTGTCAAATTAATGCACGGTCTTTTCCTTTCTTAAATTAAATTTTTTGTCTACCGGGTTTTCTTAATTGAGTTGCTCCGCATGAATAACGTATTGCGGAGGCCATATACCAACACGTGTGAACGGAACTACGGCCAAATCACACTCCGCGCGGCGGTGGCTACGCGCGTGGCTCGTGATCCGGCGTTGTCGGAGGAGGGCGATGGTTGGCGGATCACGCACACACACACAGACAGGTGTTCATTCTAGATTTGAAGCTTTCGTGACTGCAAGGATTCATACTCTTAGTTCTTTCGGTAAAGTCACAGAGGTAAAAAATGAAATTAAAATTAATAAAAATAAAACAATCAAATCACGACGTTTCGGAGGCAACACAAGTCTCCGAAACGTCGTGATTTTATTATTTTATTTTTTATTAATTTTAATTTCAGTTTGTTTTACCTACGTGACTTTACCCAAAGAACTAAGAGTATGAACACAGACAGGTGTTGACAAAACTTCCCTTCCCGTGAGCGTCGAGGATGTGGCATAACACAGCAAATGTGGACCTCACCCCGTGTCCCTCCCTCCCCCCCCACCCAACGTATTCCATCTGTACGGGATGAAGCGTTTCCATCCCCATAACGTGCGCGGGGTTTTCTCTGGGCGTTCCAGTTTCCTCCCAGGTGCAAACACCCGTTCATTGGGAGAAGAAGAAGAAGAAGCAAATCCCAGCGCTATATAGAGAGGACCGCAGAGCTTGCAGGGGGATTTAGTGCCAGGCTCCCCACGCGCCTTGCTGCCTTCTCCCGCTCGTCTGTGGTTACCTCCTCGCTCCTCCGAGTCGTTCTGTCTCTCTCTCTCTCTTGGAGAGTGAGCGAACACTGTGTGCGCACGTTACAAGTTGTTATAACGTATGAGCTAACCCAAAGTTGTCGTCGGTGGCTGCGGAGCTAGCGTGGTGAGCAATGCAGCAAAAAACAAATCCATTGTTGTACTCTACATCTATACTCGTGCAATCTACGCTCTCTGCATTCGACTAATCCACATATTTGTGGTGTATTCCGCAAATATGCCCGACTGTGAGGGCGGGCAGAAGCCGGCGTGAGTAGGGTAAACGTTGAGTTTTATAAGGGCACCATGGGGTGATCAGCCCCTCCCCACCCAGCCTCACCCCTCCGACCCCCAACCCAGCCCCACCCTCCCCACCCAGCCCCTCCCCACCCTCCCCACCCAGCCCCTCCCCACCCTCCCCTCTCCACCGAGCCCCACCCTCCCCACCCAGCCCCTCCTCACCCTCCCCTCCCCACCCAGCCCCTCCCTCCCCACCCAGCCCCTCCCTGCACGACGGGCACAATAATCCCCTGTAGGCTGGTGTAACCAGGAGGTTCCTACCAGTAGAATAAGTCAATAGATCAGTGGGCTTTGCCTGGTAGGATGGGGATAGTTTAGTTTCATTTTTATACGTGTTGGGTGATTTGTTTACCTTTCTTGTACATTACACTACTGTCGTGTTTTTCGAATGTTTGTTCTTGTAGCGTTCTTACCCCGTGCCCCTACTGGACATCTGCGAACAAGAGCTTTCCGGCTCATCGGATTCCTCCAGCATACATATTCAGAATCTTGATTCTGATCGCGGCCACCCCCTGAGATGATCATGTAGTCATTACGCCACCGGTGCAAAGGGAACGCGTTTCAAAGCCTGGGTGCTGCGCCGGCACAAAAAAAGGGGCTCGGGAATGAGCTTTGACCTGGGGAGTAGTAGCACTTCTCGAAGTAGCGGTTTGTATAACCATACTTCATCACACTGGTCAGCGCAGGTTGGTTGAAGGGGAGGACGGGGGTAGGTGTGCAGAATGACTGTTTCAGGCAACCTCCTCGCCCCTATTAACCGTGGCCAGGAATGCAGCCCAGGTCTTTTGGGTTTATAGTGCGAGGTGTTTAAGTGCTCCGCCACCACATCTGCCCTGTAATTAATGTATTTAATCGTGCATTGCTTTGAAGTATGGATTTTCTTCACTGGGCACATACAGTAAATACACGTGGTTTATTTTTACACGTGGCTGCTTGAGCATTACTGCCTGGCCAGTGAGAATGTTTTGCTAATATAAAGATGTGTCATTCTAAATCGATGGAAGCTTCTCATAGCTTTTAGCCACTGTGGTGCAATTACCACAGTAGCTTCTGCGGTGAACATGTACGGTGTGTGTGTGTTTGCCAATAACACAGGCAGGACTACGAGAAGAAAGACGCAATAAACGACTTAAACATTATTGTTTTGCTTCATCGAGGGAGACAAAATCGGTGGGCTTTGCGAGTGATTCGGTGGCAGCAAATGCGCGTAAATGTTGAACTTTTTTCGCACCCCACGTAGCCAGCCGTGCTAATAGGAGGTGTGGGGGGCAAGGACAGGATGGGATGGTGGCAGGTGGGTGAGTGGATAACAACGCTGTGGCGTTCAAAGGTCGCACTCATTTAAAGTCGCGCTCATCACACACAAAGCGCTTGCCACAAATGAACCGCGATACTCAGCTGCTGCTGATGATGATGATAGTTCTAGATTTGAAGCTTTCGTGATTGCAAGGATTCATACTCTTAGGTTTTTTTTCAGTAAAGTCACGTAGGTAAAAATTTAAAATTAAAATTAATGAAAGTAATAATAGAAATAAAATAATAAAACATCACGACGAGACTTGTGTTGCCTCCGAAACGTCGTGATTTTTATTATTATTTTACTTCTATTATTACTTTCATTAATTTTAATTTTTTTTACCTACGTGACTTTATCGAAAGAAAAAAATACCCTAAGAGGACGATGACAATCTCAGGGGCATGGACATGCAGCCGGGCTGAGGACACACATCGGGCAGACATCGCGCATCGCCGGCAACAACAACGGCCGCGCCACGGACACTCACCGTGATGGCCGCAGCCAGTCCGGCCGTGTTGCCCCCCCGCTGCCTCGTCCCCCTCCTCCTCCTCCTGCTCGTTGTTGATCACCATCGTGTTGAGCTCGCTGCTCAGCAGCCCGGCCCCGTGCTCCGCGTCTGATCGAGCGGCAGCCGTCGCGGTGGCCGTGCCCGCCCCAGTGACCACCTTCCTCGGAGTGGCACCGCCCGCGTCCATGACACCGCCCTTGACCGCCGTGCGCACCATTGTGCGGCCAACGTCGTCATCGTCGTCGTCTTCGTCGTCGTCATCGTCTTCTTCCTCGGCCTTGGTCGTCACAGACAAGAGAGGCAGCAAGGAGTTATGATGCTATAGACTTTGTTTTGTTGTTGTTTTACCAGGCGGAGAGGTCCACTAAGCTGCGTGGTTTTGTGTTTTTTTCTTTTACAGAAGCGACCCGGCTACAAACGATCGGTCGGCGAAGTGGCTTGTCTTCGGGTGGAAATTTACAGCGGGCAAATACTCGCAAAACGCGTGATCTTGATTCTAAATGTGGAGGGGCAAAAAAAACCCCTGAGGATCCTGGAGAAAAATACACGTGACCACGGGGAGAACATGCAAACTCCAAATATCAGAATCAGAATGTTTAATTATACTGGAGGAAACTGATGAGCTATGAAGCAAAATTTTTGTACAGATGTCCAGAAGTCACAGATGTCCACTAGACGCCTGTCCATATATAGGCGCCAGGGTCGGGATCGAACCTACGACCTCCTGTATACCACGTGGGTCACCCATCCCCTCCCTTCGAACCCTTGCCACTCAAGTTCCTATTTTATGGCCTCAACCAGAAGGAGCTATGGGAGAGCCGCTCTAGAAGATGTTTTGGTCTTTGCCCTGCCACGTTGGCCGGACGTTGTGGAAGAGGTGCAAGCGCCCACGCTTTACCCCACCACGCGGCACGAAGAGACCTGCCGATCGTCCCAAACCAGCGTGCTGCATTGCAAGGCCCGCGTGCCACTGGCTGCCCCTGGTGGCCTTTAGCGCGGCCCCTGACTTGCTGTCAAAGGCAATGGTTTCAAATGTGTGGTGGCGGCCGTCACATTGATGATGTCTTATTGGCAAAAGTGCCCCCCCTTCTGAAGATTATTGAAGATCGCCGGTCTCAACTGTGGTCAACCCATTTGTACTTCTGGGTGGACAGAGGGCAGTGGCAATTTAATCAACTCTGCAACCGTTGTTTTAACTGCCGCGCCTGGAGATCGAAGGAAACTGTCGACCTCTGGATTGCAAGTCCAGTGCTGAGCTGCGACTAATTAAATGAGCCGTGGCTAATTAAATCAGATCTGAGCTGTGGGCTAATTCATAATATTTTTGCATCATTTACTTCGGGTTTTACAAGTTGATCCAGCACAGCAACTGTGCTGGGTCAACTTGGAACCTCAAATACCAAGCAGGTCCGACCCTTCACTCAAACCACGCTCCTCTCCAGGGGTCGGCAACCCGCGGCTCTTTAAGGAACCGTTTCATGACAGTTTTTTTTTTATTAAGGACCACCGCCGTCTGAAATTCACCACAGTGCATTGCGGGCTCTTGAAATATTGACAGGTTTTTTGTTTTTACCGAATATAAAAAAAATGTTATCTTGTTATGTTAGTTGTTGAGCCCTGCCTGTGATCCTAGACCTACGGAAGCTGTGATTCGTGTCCATCATCGCAGTCGACGACAAGCAGCCACCAAGGTAGAACTGCAGGTGGCAGCATTAGCCAGCGTTTGGCCGCTAAACAATTCGTGCATCCATACTCGCAAGCCACGTGCGTGTGTGTGGAATGCCAAAGGTTACATGCGGGTGTTCAGTTACGGTAACTTTCAAAATGGCAATCTAAGATGCGTGTATCTGTCTCTCTGCACACGTAAAGGTCTTCCAAGCAGGTTTAAAAAAATATATAATCTAACAAGAGCTCTTAGCATGATATCCACAATCTCGTTATGCGATTATTTCCATCCTCCACGCTTTACTCATTTCGTATGTATGTTGAAACTTCTTTCGCATCGTACGTAGCCAACCGTGCGATCGCATACTTCTTTATCTCATCCCAGGCACACCCCCCCCCAATCCCCACTCCTCCTCTACTCCTCCTACAACCTCCTTATTCTTGGACATGGCTATGTTCCATTAGCAATAATTATACATTTCGATTTAAGCTTTCGTGACTGCAGGGATTCATCTTCTTGGTTCTTTCGGTAAAGTCGTGAGAATTGTATTTTATGTTTTATTTTTATTATTTTATTATTTCCCTTCTACGTGACTTTACCGAAAGAACCAAGAAGAATAATTATACAACTAAATATATCTGCTGAAGTTAAGCACTTCCTCGAAGGCCGGGTTGCTGATGGGATGTGTCAAGAAATACCTTTAAATAGTTTTACATTTCGGCACAGATATGCTATCGTCTGCTTATTTCAATTTTCACGTGTTCCCCACAATGGAGCTGTTGCATATTTTCGCTTAATACATGACAGAGTTTCGCATCGAACTAGGACACATAACTGTGGAGCTCATCTGTCTAACACGGAGCAAGTTTCACGGGCATCTCACCAGCACTGGTTGCATGCCAGCCTGACTCTGTTCATGAGACGCTGAATCTCAAAACCAGTGCAGAGTTCACTTGCGTTTGAACTGAAGCAATGGTGATTTAAACAAAAATTAGGTACTCCCAGAAGGCCGTGCAGCTGATGGGATGTACAACAACAAGAAATACGAGACAGATGTGTGAAGTAGGGGCGCATCGTCGACTTATTTATCCCGCAACTTATATTCTCCACAAAGACGCGAATGGCGATTTTGTCCAAATCTAAATTTAGGTTGTTGTTTTTTTTTGCGGCAAACATAGCGGGTGTCAGGTTTACGCCGAGCGGAGACCGTCATTCTATTCCTCCATCGAAAGATCGGGGTGGAAGGGGGGGAGGGAGCAGATGATTGCTCCGTTGTTTGTGTTCAGCTGCCACAGTCGCAACTCTGGGTTACTCCTCCCTCGGTGTTATTTTCTGGAATATTTGCTGGTTTATCCAGAATGATTCTGTTCAAGTTCAAGTTCATTTATTAGGTATAGCCCTGTGAGCCATGCGGCTCTTGAATCGGGTGCAACCGCAACAAACAAAAAACAAAAACATGAACAAAAAACATCTTAAAGTGAATATGTGACTGAGTGCAAACAGAAAATCCAAGAAAAGACAGCAAAATATTGCAGAAAAAAACACTGTACACCAACGCTGTGTGCAAAAATCCCAGCGGGATGCGCGTCGTCACTTTAAGATGTTCTCTGCTCATATTTTGTTTGTTGCGGTTGCACCTGACTGAAGAGCCGCATGGCTCACAGGGCTATACACCTAATACATGAAACTTGAAATTAGAAAACTTAATCATCCACCTCAGCCACCTCATCCACCCTGCCTCCACCCCCCACCTAAACTGAAGCTAAACTAAACTTTTAATTTTTCGATTTAAAGATTTCGTGACTGCAGGGATTCATCTTCTTGGTTCTTTCGGTAAAGTCACGTAGAATGGAAATAATAAAATAATAATAAAACATAAAATATTTTTTTTATTATAAAATATTAAAAATAAAACATTATAAAATAATTATTTTATTGTGTTTAATTTTTATTATTTTATTATTTCCATTCTACGTGACTGTAACGAAAGAACCAAGAAGACAAACTTTTATATATTTTGTATTTTACCAGGTAAGGCCCACTGAGCTACATACCTCTTTTTGAGAAGGGACATGGCCCCAAATGATTAGGGGCCGTCCATAAATGACGTCACGCGATTTTGGACGATTTTTGACCCCCCCCCCTCGTCACACGGCGTCACAAAAAGTCAAACCCCCCTAAAATATGACGTCACAAAGCTCTGCCCGCCCCCCCCCCCAAATAAAACATGCTTCAAATCGCTTTAAACTACAGTCATTGTAGTGCGTATTTAATGTGGCGCTGCACTCTGATGTTGTAGGAGAAAACATTTATTAAAAAGTCTATTTAATAAAGTAGAACGTGTTGTCTATATTTATTTAAAGTTGCGCATTTTGATGTGACGTCACATTTCTCAACCCCCCCCCCCCCTCGTCACACATTGTCACAAATGTCTGCCCTCCCCCCTAGGTGCGTGACGTCATTTATGGACGGCCCCTTATCACGTGGACATCTCGAGCAGCCGAATGACTCTGAACTCACGTCGCTTCTAAAAGTGGAGGGAAAAACCGGAGGACCTGGAGACAAATCCACTCCACCACTGGGAGAGAGAGAGACGCAAACTCCAAATATACAGAGGTCAAGGATGGCATCGAACTCACGACCTTCTCCATACCAGGCGAGGGAGTTAACATCTCACCACCTTCTCCACACACACACACACACCCCGCCTGCCCCTCCTCATACCGAGTTGTCCGAGTCTGCGACCTGGTCGGCTTGCAGAGGCTCGTTGCGTTTCGGCTTCATCGCCATAGCCTCGGTGATGAGCTCGCGCAAGATGCTCACCGGTTTGGCCGCCACGATGAACGGGTGCTGTGGAAAAAGAGCACACGCACTGGGTGGTGAGAGAGGCATGCGTGCGCAACGGCGGCACGGTTGCCACCTAACCGCTGGGTTTCCTGGGACGTCAATTTTTTGTTGTTGTTGAGGTCGTAGCAAGTCATTGTGGAAATCTGTCAGTCTTCCCGGAGACATTAGAAGTCCCGGGTTGTGTCAGATGTGTGATAACGCAGCAATGGAAGACAATGCATTGCCATATGGTGCTCTCGTCTTTGGGTATGGTGATCTGTTCTCATTACCGCGGTATGTCCTGGTTTTTGTACCTCCGAGGTGGCAACCTAAATGTGGTAAAGGCGTTTACGCTGCTGAGATTCATCTGCGCAGTTTTGCCCGCAGTTGTTGTTGAACGGTTCATTTCTATACGGTTCGTGAAATTGTTTTGACCACTTGCGTACAAGTGTTCTGAATTGCTTTGTGACCCCAAGTAATTCCTTAGGCCCTCACCTGGTTTTAATAAAGATTGATGATGATGATGATGAAATCAAAGGCAAGGAATTCCCAGGTTTGTTAATCTATCTCGGTTCTCCAGCAAGGCACGCAGAAGCAGCACAGCCCCAGGGCTCTCCCACTACCGTGATCATGTTGATTACGAATCCAGGGCTGGATTGCGACCTTGGGAAATTCAAACAAGGGCAGTAGCATTGCACACTTGGCATGGGTCCGATACCCCCACCTCTCTTCGTAGCTTTGACGCTTGCACACCCCCCTCCACCCCCCCCCCCCTTGAGTCCATGAGTCCCAGTGCAGTTGCATCGCCTGCGCACTCGATTGCTACGCCACTAAACAGAGGCTCAATTACCCAGCAGTCAGAAGCGGCTGCGGTCTGTGGGTTCTGCATGGGGCTTCCAAGGTCGGGGTTAGAGGTAGTGGCAGTCTCGTGAATTATTGCCCTGGCCCAGCGCCCAGACATTGGAATGGCACTCGCATCAGCTGAGAGCCACTCTGAAAAATTAGGGGGCAGCTGGAACCTGACCTGCTGAAGTCCATAAGATACACTTGTTTACGATCTATACGATGACTTGTTTTTCCATCTTCCAAGTCAGCAGGGTTGGCATGGACCCTGGTGCACAAAACGAAGCGGCGGGTCTCCGTTGTACAATTGTCTCAATCTCTTCATCGCCTGGGGGGCCCCGGGCTATCGAGTGTGCCGCGCCACTGTGGCCAGCCTCGCGCTTTGCGGAGGAGGGGTTCGCCTCCGGACAAAGCCGTCAGCGTGGGCGGAGTTCTCTCCCTCGCTCGCGTGTCCCGTCCGGCGCGCCATGTGACCGTGGGCACCTCCCGAGGTGCAACATCCACGGCGACATAACAGGGGAAGGTGGATATCTCGCGGTGCCGAGAAGAGGAGGAGGTGGTGGTGGTGGGGTGGGGGGACTAGACGAAAAGCGTAGTGCTGGGCGGGTGTGTCATCACGCAACTGATAAACAGCACGACTTAAAAAAAAACAAAAAAAATGTCGCTGGGAGAGACTCACAGGTTTTGCACGTAATCGTGGGCAACCAAGCCGGGTGGCATCCCTGGATGGGCACCCACGACCGCCCCGCCCACCCCCCCCCCCCCCCAAAGTGAACAAACAACTCCTGGCGCAGTCCCAGTCACCGTGACTCGCCCGACCGGCCTCCGATCTCCGGACATCCTCGGGAACGTCGAACAGCATCAGGCGGCCGCTCCGGCGAGCGCTCGCCGGACAACCGCCAGCAGTCGGTAAAACATCCGGGAGCGGATTTTTTTTTTCTCCCCATTTTCATAAACGATCTCTGCCGCAGCAGCTGACTTTGACATAGGAGGCAGTAGGCAACTGCTCCCTGGGTGCCGCGGATACATTTCCCAAAAATCACTCCGGCAGATACAGAACCCCAACACTGCTGCCCTGCTTCGCATTAGGAACGGAACGCGCTTTCTGCCGTGCGCTGGCAACGAGCGATGTTTTTGTGGGGGTTCCGAATGGTTAGTTTTTCCTCCGTGTGTATGCGTAGTTCTTTTTTGTTTGTACGGTCTTGTGCCTGCGGACGACCGTCAGATGGATACGAATCCGCGCTCATCTTTGGGACGCTTCTCAAGGCCCCGTGCCAATCTTACGCACGTGCGCAGGGTGGCATTTTGCTCCAAGTGAATTTTTTTTGCGCGAATAACGCGACCCGCTTTGGAAGTGCCGCGTAAAAAAACGTCGTTGTCATCGGTGGCTTTACGCGGGGATGTGCAAAATATTCGCTTTTTTACGACCGGATTTAGCTCGGGGGGAATGAAAATGAAGAGAATTAAACAAAGAGTTTTAGGGGTATGGAAAGAAGCGTGGCGAGATGCATGCTGGGAATTGCAACAACGATACAGAAAGAGGGACACGTGGGTCAGAGAACAAATGAAATTAGGGACATCATATTGACATCGAACACGATTGTGGCAGGATGTCGCTCGAACCAACGATGGCTGATAGGCCAGGACGGATGATGGAAAGCCAGCCAGATTTGCGACGACCATGGAGGGTGAAGCGATGACATCGGCCCTTGTAGCCGAAGCGAGATGGTCCGTGGCA